CAAAACATGATAAAATATTATCAGAATTAATTAGACAAATGACTGTCAATGAGGAAAAAACTGATATTCTTATTTACATTTAAATGATATTCTTATTCTCACGTCTTTGTACAATACAAAACACTCGACAAACTGATTGACGACAACAATAATAATTCTTATCGCTATTATACATTTTTACTGAAAACAATATTGAAGTAAATAATATTGCGTGCAGCCAACAAATGTTAACATGGCTACGTAAATAAATGACGTAAAAAATTAACATGCATGACTATGTAAATGACTCGTTAACACGGCTGAAAAATTATCTGATAGCCTTTAATTACAACTTACAAGACAATACGAAAACAGTTACGTGCGTTTACTTTGACGTAAGTAGCAAAAAAGAATACATAAAGATATTCACTACTATCTTAGATTGTGTGACATCAGAAGCGAGAAAATATGCAGTAAAATTCTTGCTAAATATATTAAAATGGAAATAAGTTTTAATAAAACAACACTTACAATCGATAGAACCGATTTGTAAAACTTACCAAAAACTCACTCTCCTTTTATTTCATTAATTCTTTAGGCTCCTGCTCACTCGCCGCTTCTATACTTGATTGATAACGTCAGAAGCGAGAAATCGCATGGCAAAAGTTTTTTCGGTTTTACGTTGAAATAAAAAAATATATCCATAAAACGCAACTGTAAACGATTCAGCATATTTATATAAAATATAACCGAACACTTTCCTTTGGCTGTAATAATCACTAAATAGCCATAAAATTAACGTGACATGCATTCTATCTTTTTAACCTGTCTTCTTTCATTTTTCATCTTGACAGTTATTTGGTCAAATAACCACATCACATTGGTCAATTGCCGAATTATTAAAATATAATTGGTCAATATTTATTGATTTAAGCAACCAACCTCCTTAATAACCATATATCTAAAAATAAATAATGCCTAACCAGAAACGAAATAAGCTAGTTCACAGCTAATGACATATCATTTTATTCCGAAATAAAAAGATAAATTTTCGGTATATTTTACAAGTCGGTTCTATCGAGTAAGTGTAAGTGTTGCTTTATAATTGAAACATATTTCCATTTTAATATATTTAGCGAGAATTTTTTTTTGTATATATTTTCTCGCTTCTGACGTCACAATCTGAGATAGTATAATGGTGAGTGAACAGGAGCCTTAAGAATAAAAAACGTAAACGAGCAAAAATTGGATCCCTTATTTCATAAATATATTTTATATCATATATTTTATATCAGGAGGCTAACTTGGCTGAGATGTACATTTATGCGTAAGACCGTAGTAAAGCGCGAACAAAGATTGTGGAGAACAAGATATTAATTGCAGGGAGAAGAAGAATGATGAGAAAAAAAGTTCTTGCCGATGACGAAGCATATTTATAGGTGTTTTCTCACGTTTACACGACATATTCGCTAACGTCCGATTATCGTATCTATCATATTTGCAAACGTAAATATATTTTTGAGTTGTGATAAAAAGTAAATGCAAAATTATGACGTACTTAATTGTCCGAAGAAATGAAGACGGGAGTCTTGAAGAAATTTTTGCCGATGGCATTAGCTTGCCAGATCTATTTCTAATGTTTTATATAATTACGTAATTATTTATCTTATAATCACGTCAAGTATCGAATATGCTTGGAGATATTTGTAACAGCACATGTGGCAGAATACGTCTTCATAAAACAATTATAAAAATTTATAATTGTTATATAAAAACTGTTATTAATATTATTAGGAAGAATATTATCACGCATGCACTGAGAAACAAATATTTAGATCAAAAAAAATATTTATTTAGAATTAAATATTTTTATTTAATTTAAGTAAAAATATCTAATTTTCTAAATAAATATATGTGTTATATTAAGTAAATAAGCTCTTGGCCACAATCTAAATAAATAATTTTTTTTATCTAAATATTTTTTTTTAGTGTGAAAATACATTGAAAAAGTATAATGCCCATATTCAATTGCGAGAAATCGAACGAGTGCTCGGTAAGGTATAAACTTTTGCGCCTTTCACACTTTTACCTACTAATTCCTAGAAAACCATAGAAAGTTGTACACGCCTTTCTATCCATAAAAAAATCCATCATAAACGGAGTAGTTTTTAAAAGAGAATTATTCCTCGTAATTTACGATAACGACGTTCCTTCCTGTTTCGTTTCAAGATAAAATTGACCGCTGTTCAGTTACATCCAGTTACAATCAAGTTACGTGTTTATCCTTCTTGCTTTTTCCTGTGGTAAATAAAAAATGCGTCGGGACAAGTAACGCGCACAACAAGTAACATATCAACGCGAGAATAAATGTAACATGAATCCAACTTCTACGAGATAAATAGACGCGAGGCGGGAGTTAATTGATACGTAAGATCCAGCTCCCTTATCACGAAGTGAGTAATAGTTGATAAACAGAAAAACAGAGCGATTGAGTTGGGCGTTGACATTTCGCGCAGCTTCTCGCGGCAGAGGGAAGAGGCGAGAGGGAGAGAGAGAGAGCGCAGTGAGTCCTTGCTTTGCTCCACGTTCCACGCTCCACGCTGATGCGAGAGCTAAGCGCATGATGACCGCAACCGCAACGTCCGCAACGCGCGTGCGAATTAAATGACAACGAACCTAGCTCGCGCCGATGCGACGTCTTCTCCGCGCCGCCGTCCCAGAAACCCGTCAGCTCCATGGGATCGAAGCTGCATCTCTCGCGCTCGCGCCGCAGATCCGCGTTGATCGTCACCATCGTTCGCTAGTTGAGACCGGAGGGAAGAGCTTGTCACCACGTTCCAGAGCATCTGCCGAGTAACGACCGAGTGTTGTTGGCCGCGAACTGCCCAGTTGCCCACTGCTACGTACCGGCCGATTCTCCCGACTCCCACGCGATCACGTCGTCGTAACTCGCAATCAGAATTGATGACAGATGCACTACCACTACCACCACGCACCACTGGCCGCCACTGGTCGCCACTGGAGCGTATGCCGTATATACGGTGGTGCGATCATCCGTACCTCCGTCGACTCCGTCGGCGCTTTTGATGTAATTTCAGAGCCAAATCGGAGAGCGCACGCGCACAGCAATTGACATGATCAGTACCGCCATCTAGAGATGTTTATCGATATTCGAAATTGTCGAATATTCGAATCACGTTCGATATGAAAATATTGAATAGAAAAAATGTAAACAGAAAAAATAGAAAATCGAATAAATATTTTTTAACTATATTAGAAATCGAAGCGAATATTTCATATTAAAAAGTATGTATTTTAGAGACATAGGTATCTTAAGCCGTAAGCAATAAGAAATGGATCAATTACAGTCGATCGTACTATTGCAATCATAAAATACTTCTTTCTCAATTTTTATATCTTTTTTCGATATCGAAATCGATCTCTATGAATTTCTCTCTCATATTCTTTTTTTCTCCTTCCGATAAAATATTAACAACGGTCGATCTTGTAGAACTTGCTGAAATTTGAACTTTGAGCGACATGCTAGTTAGTTCGCTCATTAGATATAAAACGAAGATAGACTAAGCAAATAGTGCTAAGTGCGCTCCGCGAACGCGCCCAAAGTATATTCATCTTCATGCATCTTATTGTTAGATGAAAAATCATCATCTTGTCTAAAAATTATTTAATTAAGATAGCAAGACTTTCATTTTTTCTGCTAATATTTCTTTACCGCCGTTTAAATAAAATTAGATTCCAGAACATTATACGTATAAAGTTGTGTAAAAACAGCTATTTCCCATGATAAAAAATTTCTCACATTTTCTAAGAATTATGTAAGAATTGGGACTTATTGTGAACAATTCTTTAAAAAGTACATAAAATTTCTCTGATACTTTCAGAAATAACACAGAGGATCACAAAAAAAATTTTTCAAAATTAACTGGGATCAGATCTCGAGTATAGATATTCGAATCCTTATAAATTTTGGATTACTGAATCTGAATTTATAAACCGTTTTGCTCTACCACGTTTAGTTTCTTAGATAATTTAGAATAATAACGGAAAATCTGTGAAAATTGAAAGAAACATTTGAAGAAAGAGCAAAAGTATGACATATCAAAATGCAGTCGCAGAAGTAGTTTAAATATATTTTAGTAAGTTTAATAAAGTGCAAAAGAAATTTTATCTTACTGCTGTTAGGTATAATTGCTTAACATGTTGTAAAACTACGGTCTTACAAGACCGTGTGTAAAACAAATCGATGTAAAGTAACCAATTTATTAGACAAAACATTCGAAAAACTTTTATTTTTGAGAAATAAAAACTTAAAATAAAATTGTAAGTTTTAATATTCCTTTTATAATCTGCGTAATTCTTTTTATAAATTTTTATAAATAGTCTCATAAACACAAAATTATCTAAATATTATCGCGATATCTAGATAAATTTATCATCTTTATCTCATCTAAGATCTAAGACGAATTTACGGATTTTCATCATCTTATCTTCATCTCCGATTATTTTAAAATTATCTACGGTAATATGTTTCCAAATTTCCAACTCCAAATATAAATATTTAAAAGAGAGGAGCTAGATGGAGCAACTGGGCGATTTATTTATCTCACAATCTCGCATATGTGTGCTCTTCATTTTAACCAATAAGGTGAATAAGGGACAGTTATTCAGATGAGACTTGCAGAATGTCTCTGCTAATACGAAGATGCAAATTCGACAATTATTGGCGATACCCGAAGCTCGCAAATCGGATAAAGTTTCACGAACTGCACGCTTGGTCGTTGACCAACTTGATTTGGAGTTCGAGAAACTTTTGCAATGCACAGGCAAAACCGAATATTTTGGACGATAGAACTAAAAAGTTTTTAGATTATCTCGCGAACGAGTACAAAAACAAATCTTGGAGGAACAATAACTTAATCGATTTTGTCGATTTAAATGCTTCCGGTGGTTTATTGAGCAAAAGAGTGCAGCTCATAGAAAATATTCAGAATTTGCATGATTTAGGTAAACTGAGTGCTTATAGCTTATACTCGTTACGACAATCGACACAATTTGTAACGATAAATTTCTTTTTGTAGGACAGCAGGATATAGAGATGAAAAAATTAGCAGAGGAGGAAGAAGCGTTGTACAATGAGCAACTAAATGAACTTGACGAGAGATTATTGAACATAATATTGGGAAACATGTACAAAGATTCGTACGACAACATCATTGTCGAAATAACGGCGGGTGTCGGTGGCCAGGAAGCAATGCTGTTCGCCAAGGACTTGTATGATATGTACATAGGCTACGCCAAGTATCTAGGTTTGGATTACGAGGTGATCGACATAGAGATAAGCGATAACAAGGGCATTAGGCATGCCAGTATTATGATATCTGGCGATCAAGCTGACAAGTTTCAACACGAGGGTGGTGTACACCGAGTCCAGCGGGTCCCAGCCACGGAAAGAATGGGCCGAGTACATACCAGTACCGCCTCGGTTGCAATTTTGCCGGTGCCATCGGAGATACAGATTGCGATCAATGAGAAAGATTTGAAAGTAGAGACAAAAAGAGCGTCCGGCGCAGGTGGTCAACATGTAAACACCACCGATTCCGCGGTGAGGGTAACGCATCTGCCAAGCGGGCTGAGCGTTACCTGTCAGGTAGACAGATCGCAAGATAAGAATAAAAAGATGGCTATGAACAAACTGAGGAGTATCCTGTACGAGCAGCAATTGAACAAGCAATCGTCATTCACGAGCGAGTTGCGCCAAAAGCAAATGGGAATGGGATACAGGAACGAAAAGATTAGAACGTACAATTATAATCAGGATCGCGTGACCGATCACAGACTGGGTCAGAATGGGACTCTCTACAACTTGCCGGAATTTATGCAGGGTGGAGCGGCTCTAGAGGAATTGGAGGACAAATTATATAATCATGTACGGATGAAAACTCTGCTCGAAATAGTCAAAAAGCTTGAGACGCGATCAAAGTGATGCTAGTCTTTTCTAAAATTATCATTTTGATACAAAAGATTGTATATAAGGTTCACTTTATATAGGCAAGTTATTGTACAGCATAATTATAATTGAATATATATGTATATATAACACATTCTCATTGAGTTTGATGACGGAGATATATAATCATCTTTCACTTTGGTAGTAACGCAGATTTAATAACTTTTATACAAACATTCATACATGTATGTGTAAAAGTTATATATATGTATATGTCTGCCGAATATTTGTTAATAAACATATAAGATTTTGTATTTATTTTTTATCTTAATTACGTATCTTAATGACTATAAAGCAACTTTAAATGTCTCATTAAATACAAAAGTACAAATACAGTAATATACAAAATCCATACGTTCATAATTTCGTCTCTGGATCGATTCTTTTTCTTAACTCTTAACTCATAAAAATTATGAAAAGGCCCTCATCACTGGATATATGCATACTTCTTTTATATTTGGATTCCATATATGCCTTGTCTTCGGCCAGGCCTAAGTAGATTGCACACACTTGACATATGATACTTCTATATCTCAAGAGGCTTCTCAGCATGTAGCACGATAATGATCCCACAAAAAAATTCTATTATTCCTTTATTTAAATAATCTAAACTTATTTATACTTAATTTTTAAATAGGGACTTTTGTACTTGTGCAGATATGCGAGTTTTGAAGTACTTATCAGAGGTTCATCCCACCCTCTTTCTTTGTTTCGTCATTCATGAAATTTACTTTCTCATCCTTTTCATTTTCTAGTTAAACAGAAATATTTATATAATTATTATAATTGTTTGAATATTAACTTCAGAAAATAAAATTAAAAATGATCTTAATACCTTTCACATCTGATTTTACATCGTCTTCTTTCTTTAGATTAATGTTCATAAGACGCATATCCATTTCTTGACCTTTTTCCAAACGTAATCGCTTCGTAGACCCCTTTAACATAAAAAAATGTCAAAGCTCGCAATATCTACATTATGCCTTCCATAATGCATTTTTAAAAGAAGTGATTAAGTATCAGACAGATTAGTATAAAGATTATTACCTTGTACAATCTGTTATCTCTTCGCCCACCTTCACCTTCATCTTCACTATCGCTGTACTCGTTCTCACGTTGTATCCTCTTATCTAAATCACGTTGGGGCAGTCTCTCATCGAGCTTAATCTTTTCTTCAATTTCCGCATCATCAATAATGGCACCATCCTCTGGTATTGCCTGAACTTGTACACCAGGTGCATGAGGTAGCATTCTCAGGTTTTCAAACAGCCTCGTTCTATGATTATTAAAAGCGATTATGAATTACTGTTTATTCATAATATATATAAAAGTAACAGAGAAATAAACTACACACAAAAGTGGAAATCGGAGCTTACTTAATTTTGTCGAGATATTCAGGAGTATTTTGATTTGTCATATTTGAAGGACTAATATGTAGTTTAAAATCAGGGCCGAAATATTCAAAGTAATCGTTGTATGGAAGCTCGTTAGCGATTTCACTTCCGAGAGCCACCGATGTCTCATATGTCCAACATCTGGATACATTTCTGATGGTATAACCACCACCTCCCACCATCAGAAAAGGTAAATTATATCTCTTCACAAACTCTACGCATTTGCCGTGACCCCTCACAGTTAAATTGAAGCATCCTAATCGGTCACCTGCATTGATTAATATTTGCATTAAAAGTTGTGCAATTTTATTGTGATATAAGTAGGTTCTTTTGAGGAAAAAAATGCTTACCTGTCAGGGAGTCTGCACCACACTGTAAAACAACAGCAGAGGGTTGAAATGTCTCCATCACTTTAGAGATGATAGGAACGAATATTGATTCGTAGCTTTCATCATCCATACCATCTCTCAAAGGTATATTAACTGCATAGTACTTTCCCTGTTAATAATGAGAAAAAATCGCGTTTATTAATAATGCTTTAGAGATATTTCTTAGATAAATAAGTGAAATTATGAATATTGTTATATTTTAATACATTTTTTTTACCTTTCCTGCTCCTATATCGCGAAGATCTCCCGTTCCAGGGAAATACTCGCCGTACTTGTGAAATGAGACCGTCATCACTCTATCCGTTGTGTAAAAAGCTTCCTCTACACCATCGCCATGATGAACGTCGATGTCGATGTACAAGACTCTCTGATGATATTTGAGCAATTCCAAAATTCCAAGCACAATATCATTTACATAGCAAAAGCCAGAAGCTTCGCTCTTTTTTGCATGATGTAAGCCACCGCCCCAATTGATGCAGATTTCCGAGGCTTGCTTGTTGAGCTTTACAGCAGCAGCTACAGATCCACCAGCTGATAATTGACAAAATTCGTACAAGCCATCGAAAACAGGGCAGTCTTCTCCAACGTTAACTATCACCCATAAAAGAAGGAATATTAACGTTTCGAAACATAAATTTCAATCAAACATAACCATTACTATTCGACAATAACATCTTACATCGTTGCATTTGCTTGTTGTATTCTGCCATGTTGTCTGGGCGTATTGATCTAAGAAATCTGATGTAATCATCACTATGGAATTTTGTCATTTCTTCTGCTGTAGCTTTATGTGGTCGCTAGACAATGATAAAACATAAATGGTTTATAATAACCATATTCCAACTAAATGTATTTTGATAAAAAACTGTAAATAAATGAAAGATGAATATACAATGGGAGATAATCATTAAAAAGTTCTTACATATATCTCCATCTTCCTGTAAAGACCATAGTTCAAGAGTAGATTGTGCGTCATCCTTATACGATGCGGCTTCATAGGATGTCCTTGGCCATAATAATAATTCCCGATATCACCTGGACAAATTGAAAACACATATCTAAATAAATCAAGGCAGTATGTAAAAAAACCTCAAATTTGTCATTATCATCAATTGATGTGTTTCAGTGAAGACTACAGTATACCGGGGCACATTTGAGAATCTCTCGTAATTTTCTACAAAAACCGTACTAATTTCCACTGCGTTGGTCGAATTATCGATTTAACACAGAAAATATCTCTGGGGGACGTAAGAAATATCGAAAAAAATAACTGCATCAAAGTTTATCGTAGGAACACGATAATGCCAGAGTTTCTTGGGTACGTGATAACTATGTAACCAAGACCGACTGACGCTACGGTCGTGCGATAGCACAGCTGAGAGTCTGTCGGCTTAACGACGTAAAAATCGTATCATCGTACGTAACGAGCATGCAAATCTTGGTTTACTGTGCTGAAACAATAGTGCTTCGTCCAATACTTCGTATTTACCGTCGATTAAGCGGAAAATGGGCTGATCAGCGGCCAAATATCGAGCCAGATCAAACAGAGGCGGTGCATGAGTGTAAGTGGTGCAAACGCAACTCGACAAGCTTCCATCAATGTATGTCTCTACGTGGTTTTACAATGGCTTTCTCGATACTTACTATCATAGTAGTAGCAAACGCGTTTCTTGAACGGCTGCATGGCCATTTCTACGGGCTTGGCTCAGGTTAAAATCGGATAAAACACTTGGTGCGGAATTACACGAAGACCATGGGCAGTGGCTTGTAGTGCTTGTACTGGTAACTATTGGACTGACTGCGTGTGTTCGAATTCACTTCGATTCGCTTGCACCCTAATGGCCGAGAGCAGGAGCAGGGCAGCAGGGGAAAACTCCCCCCTTTGAAAAACGCGAGTTTCAGCGACACCTGAGTCGGAACTAAAATCGATCACGTGATAACCATGGTGATAACGTGGTAAAGAGCGCTAAATTCAAATCGTGAATACTTTTCATTATTGATTTTTTTAAGATTAAAAAAAATTAATGACATAATTAATGTAATAAAAAAATTAAGGTTACAATTAACAAATATCAATATTACACGATATTAATCGATATAAGATATATATGACTGATGAAGAAGAAAAATATTAGAACTGCAATCGAGATTGTTATAGGGTCTGCTTTCTATTGCTGAACTGGCTGTATTAGTTCAGAGTTTATCTTTTTTACTCCACATTGGTAGGAAAAAGATAAACTCTGAACTAGTGCAGCCAGTTCAGCAATAAAAAACAGATCCATAGATTTTGTCACTGAATTGATTTCTTATAACAATCTCAAGGAGTGCAGAACGGAGAGGCGGCAGAGAAGCTATGGAAAATAGGACAGACCCTCGTGAAAAAATTTCTCATATTTTCTCAAAAATGTTGTAAGAATTGAGGCTTATAAAACATTCTGAAAAAAAATATATAATTTCTCAAATACTTTTGGAGATATATAATTGGATGAAGATTTTCGGAATATTTCAGTATCCGCGTATGTATGAAAATTTCTGATAAATTGCACAGATTTTTTCATATTTCTACAAAGATATATTGGCAAATAATATTTTATTCTTATTTTGTCTGAGTTTTTCTTGAAAACGTTCCGATTCGCGTATACAAAAGTCTGAAAAATTCTCTGAGTATTTTAAGAAAATCTGAAAATTTTTATAGAAATTCTCATTAATAATATGAAACATTCTGAGACATTTTTCCACTAGGAGGGTACAAGTGTTCATGCGAAAAGGCTCCACTAGGAATAGCGAGATAATAATTGAGGTTTAAGTAAAGTCTAGAGGAGAGAGTCTTCTCTTGAAAAGTTGTCATTTTGATACGAAAACGTCCTCGTTTTACATAGGCAAGCCGTTGTACATAGCAAATTGTAATAAACTCTATGTAATACAAACAACATCCCCCGTTCTCTGAACGGAACTCGTTCTCGCGACGAGGCCACTATCCGAGAGCCGGAGTTCAGCGGTAATATATAATATATAGAACGTTCGGTGATTTATTCGATAAACATACAACAAGATCTCGTATTCCTCTTCTTTTTTTTTTCTTTTCTTTTTCTCTTTGCTTAACCGCGTGTCCAAAGGCACACACTTGTTTACACACATACACACATCTCACAGTATAGTACAGCGATATACAAAATTAACGTCTCGTAATCTTCTGTAAATGTCGATCGACTCGTCGCCGCTCCGCGTCGCCGTCGGTTTATAATGTACAAAGCGCGTATGCGAATGTATCGTAGTGTATTTGTGAACATGCACATGTGTGAGTACGCGACCCTGCTCCGACAACTAGAAAAATCTACGTCTCAACGAGTTAGCATTTAAACTGTCTAGATCGATTCTAGAATATCTGGAGCTCTCTCTCTCTCTCTCTCTCTCTTTATCTCTCGCCTACCATTTAATTATTCTATCTACGTATGATGAAAATGTCAAAGTGGATTGAGACATTTATTTGTCTTACTGATCCCTGGAACGCATCCTGATATTCAGCAAAAGAAAATTGGTTTCCTGATTGCAAAAAAAAAAAAGATTCTGTTAATAATACTAGACACATATTTTGGAAAATTGCAGAAAAAGAAATCTCGACCATTTTGACGTCAAATACTAGGTGCTAGAAGTGCCTCCAGACAGTTACTCATATTTGAGACATATCCTGATATCTATCGTTTACTTATACAATACGAAAATACGTTGCAAATGTATGCAACTTCATTACGTATTAAGACTTAATATCTTTTTTCATTTCTCGTTTTGCCTACTAAAGGATCCAATCGCTTATATTCGATACGAGTGCAAAGTATTGAAAGAAAGATGGATAGAGATTAAAAGGAATTGACACAGGAATTTACCTGAAATTGAATCTAATCTAATTTAAAAGACAGACTCCTGTCGACTTTTTAAACTCGATCTTCTTTATAATATAATAAAATGCATCTAGAAAAATCACTCATCGAATCGCACTTGTTTCTCTGTTTCATGACCGAAAATGTGTTAGCGAACGATCCTAACGCTAAGTGCATTTAATTCTGGTTATCTAATCTGATTTGGCGATCGATGACGATGAAAGACAATTTTGTATCTTAGCATTTTGATATCGATTGCGTTCGCCACATTTGATTGATCGCGTAGAAACTGGATGTACCGGGCAGGATCGGATAGCACATCAAATTCGTCTAGAACAACTCGACGTAGAACAAATGCGTTCGCATTTACAGTATACTTAACGAGATCGCAGTAACAAGAGGTAGAGAGTACAGAATATCTCAAAGCGCTCATTAGGAATAATATATGCTTGAAGAGAATCAAGAAATTTAATTAATATACAAATTACTTTGAAAAGAGAAAAAGAATTAATTTACTTTCATTATTTCTCTCTTACTAATAAATTCTCCACTCATTCTTTTTTTCCCTGTTTTCAAATCAAATATAATATTACATGAATCCTAACTCGCAGGAAAAAACAATTTACATAAATTAGAGAAATTAACGAATAATCAGATGGAAAATCGTTCAAATATGCGCTCTATGTAGCAATCCTGGTCGTCGGACGAGACAACTGGATGTACAATTATCCACATATACGCTCCATCGGGTGAAAGTCCGTTCAATTCGCGGCATATCGTGAATTTCATTGACTAGTTTTTGACACCAACTGTTGGCTGTGAAATCAGATCTCGATCTTAGCCGAGGAGGAAGGTACTTTTTCCGGCTAGCGCGCACATTAGCAACAACATCAAGAGGAACAGGTTCGATCTGGTGCTTGTAGCCAAGCCACACTGATGCTCCGTGATCTCGCTCTCGCGAGAATGCCACCGTATACAGGACTCTGGTCGCTCTCGCTCAAGGCCGGCAAGCGCCTTTTGGCAGACTAGCGTGTTATTCTCGTAGATCACTTCCTCGGGGTTAATGCTGAGTGTCGGGAACTTTGTTTCGCCACAGTTGTTGTTTACCACTACCAACAACATGCTGGTATTAGTCACCGGCTGCACCATATACCATCGCTGCTCGCAATTTTCATCCACGTCTTTATCGAATGCATTGAACGAGACGTTGCGTAGATACAAGTACACCTGTAGATTCAATGCGTAAATATTAAAAAGTATCCATAAAATGAAAATTAGGATCAAAATAGTCTATTTTAAAATAGCCTATCTAGAAATACTCTAATTGCTAGGAAAGCTACCAATCAATTTTTCTGCAATAAAATTATATCTAGTCTAAATGTAATTAAAATCTGTAATTTTAGTTATGTTTGTAGTTATGATATAGTATGTATTATATATATCTTTTAAAATCAAGTTTACCTCTTGATCGCAAACTTCCGGGCGTGTACGGTTCATTACAACAGTTCGGTCAAAGTATAATCTCTCGTAATTTGGCTCAAGCGGCGGAAGTTTGTCGTCGCCCTCGTGATAATCCTCGTGAACGGCTGATTCATCGTCGCTAACGTAGCTATACACTTCCGCGTCATCAGATTCCAATATGCCCATCTTCGCCCAAGCCCAAGCGGCTTGACCAACCATCCACGACAATGCTCTCAGGAAATGCTTCCATGGCTGCAACATGACATTTTGCTATTTTTAATTGACTATATATTGGCAATGATTATAATCGTGGCAACGATGATTATAATAGTAAAAACTTTTTTTTCGACCTGGTGGCTATATCATTATAATCGTCATGACAACATGATCATTGGTTTTGGTCAATTAATTATAACGATTATAATGATAGTTAGGTCGAATAAAAAAGTCTTTATTGTTAATTATGTTAATAATTATATAATAAATGATAATAAAAATAAATATAATCTAAGAAAATTAAAAAATAAAAAAATTAATTCTATGTAAAGCAAATAAACGTTTTTTTTTTTAGTTTAGAAGTACAATTTTTTAATTAAAGGTATTTAGAAGGGGGGAGGGGCATAAAATGTTAAGCTCGCACCGGGCGTAACGCAGACTAGTTACGACACTGTGTGGGTGATTCAGCCCCCCAGCAAAAATATTTGAGAAATTATGGGGCGTGTTGTACAGTGTTATTATTATTGCAATTGAAAGTGCTCACAGTGAGAAGAATGTTGCCGGCGTTGTTGGTTGGCGGACTCTTGAAGCATACCGCCTGATAATCAAAGATCCTTATTCTCTCAAAAACACCATCTTTGACTAAGCTGCTCATTATCGGACCTCTGACATCGCCGAAAAATTTACCGGCGTTGCTCGTCTTGTCTCCGGCAGCGATTATGTAGCCGTTATTGTCAATAAGATAACATGCCCAGACGTCGCCGCAGTGCTTATTACCATCGCAATTACCGTCACAATTAAACGTTATATTCTGGAGAAGCGCTTGCAAGGCAGTGTGCTGGAATTGGAAGCCGACCACTACAGCTGGCGCCTTCTTTTCTGCAAATTTGTTTTTACAGATTTAATAACCTATGTTTTCTCCGAAGCAGTTGAGGAACGAAAGAAAGGCAGAAGACCCAAACGGTATAGCTATGTATTTCGTGAAGATAACAGAGAGAAAAGGAGGAAAGGCAGCTGAAAATAAACGAGTCTAGATATAATAACTATAAGAATATATAAGAATAACTATAAGAACAACAGACGAATTATCAAAAATACTTGAAAGAGGAAAGAAGAAAATGAAGGATAGAAGTTTAATAGCTATACCCAAACAGCCAAGTCTGTCGAAAGCAGATCTTGCCAAGTATCTATTACAAATTTTGTCGGCAGATAGACTACAGATTTGATACCGGTTCTGATATATCACATGATGTCAGCAGAACGTCAACAGAAGTATAACAGAAACTGTTATCACATCAGTAGACTCTATCTGCGCGGTTTCTCCTACCAATCTGCTGTCTGATTATGTTAGCAGACTCTGCTAACAGAACTTATAAGCTGAATGCGGACGCAGTTGATGTCAATCTACCGACAAAATGCTATCAATTTGCTTACTGCGGGTAGATATATGTAGAAATGAAAACTAGTACTGGAGAGAGAGGAAAGACAGGAAATGCAGAATATGGGCAGGTAGTAGAGGCAAAGAGCATGTTCCATATTCTAAAGGAGTGCGAAGCGACAAAGAATGAAATGCGATTAGAAGAATTTATAGGAAAGAAAAGGTCTTAGAATTAATAAAAATGATAGAGACATTAAGAATCCTAAGGAAAGGGGTGGAAAAAGAGAGTAGATAGGATAGAGAGAGAAGGACAGGAGAAGAGATCAAATAGAGAATATTAAAGGGGAGAGATTTAGATTCTATGATATTAATATTTTGTACTGTTTTTGTTCTTAAAATATTTTGTTTAATATAAATATAGATTCAAGATTTTACTTTATTTAATTTAGCTCTGTTTTGCAATGTAAAGATATACAGAAATTAAATGAAAATGTAAAATGTATTACAAATTGTAAACCGGAAGTCATCCTAAGTTGCAAGGCAAGGATTAAAATAAAATAAACATTTTATTTTAATTAAATAAATAACCTGTTCTCTTACCATATATATATATATATATATATATGTTATTTGAATTATTATTAAATTACAACAAAGTTAACATAAGTCCTTCCGTTTCACTGAAGTCTGATGTCAAAAGACCATTAAATTTACACGAATATTGGAAATAATTTGTGGTAATTATTTTTATTTAATGTTTCAAATATGGATCTAATAAATTATTGATTCTATGTAATTTTGGATGATTTTTTTATCTGGGACTATTAATATTAAAGAAAGCAGACAAGACAAATAAGTCTTAATTAAGGCTCTCCTTGATTCAACATAGATGTTTTCTTTCTACTTTGATAACGATTTAAATATTGACTTACTGATAAATACAGCACGGCTGGCAGTGACTAGAGTTGTGTTGTCGGCACCTTCATCATCGATCGGCACGGAAAAAACGAAACTGTCTGGGTCTACGTAGTACTGCTCGACCGCTCGCTTATACCATACTTCATCAATAGCATGAGGATACAGGTTACTGAAATGATCCTCCGGCAGCGTACCCTCATCTAATGGGAGAATATCTTGCCACCTGGTCAGTCCGCTATGCGTGGCCATAAACGCCAGGACCACCCCGAAGCGTTGTTTGAACTGCTGCCTACGAGAGAAGACACTTCAGAAATAGCAATTCGGATCGTCCGCGACTCGAGCTGGCGTTTACTTGCACTTTTATACAGGAGTCATTATTTAAGATGTATACACTCGTTATGCACAACTACATATACAAGTTATACAGATCTCCAAAATTCATACGTAAGCTCGCAGCTCCTTTGCGCCATATACTTGGGATTTAATTTGAAAGATAAGTTCGAGTCAAGAAGGACAAGAAATCATATCGCAACTATCATCTTGCTTCGATTTCACAAACACAAATGATTACCAGACGAGTTATATTGTTACTAAAAATAAAACATGATGTTTTATCATTGTATCATAATATATATATATAAATCTATCTACTATCTCGTTGATTATTGGGTTAATTCGTTAATTAAATAAAAAATAAGATTATATTGCAAAAGATTCGACTATCAAAGAAAGGATTAATTGCCTTTTTAATGTAGAATGGCGCAAACGAACGAATAATACTTTGGAAAATACTATTATCGAAGAGTCAATCAAATCGGGAAAATCCTCTTGCTTTCGCAGTATCACTCGCGAAGCATTCCTCCTTTTCAGGCTTTTGCTCCTGAAAGATGACAATTGCCCTACGACGGCTACGACTTGCAAGCTAATTTTTGCGCCGACCTTAAGATGTCGAAAGATGAAAAAATAAGAGAGCAAGAAGAAAGAAGCAGAAAGTAGGAAAAAAAAACAAGATTATACATATAGCGCGACATAAGAAAAAATTATTAGCAAGTACTTTATAAAGAAAGGTAGTAATTAATAAACTTAAGAGAAGAGAAATCGTGAAAAATACGATTCTACCAATTTTTCTGTAAAATTCGAGAATTTTTGTACTTTAATACAACCAGAAAGAAGATAAACGCAATTCTTTAATGGAAAGTGAAAAATAGAGCGAAGTGAAAAAAAAACTCTTGAACGGATGTATTCTGTAAAAGAGAAAAAGAGAGAGGGAAAGATAGAGCTAAGAAGAAAAGAGCAAGATAGGAAGAGTTAACACTCGCATTATAATGTACGGCACGAACGGTTGAGAGTTAATTCGTTACTTTCTAAAAATGTAAGGTGCGTTGTGATGGCGTTACCTGGTCATCTGATTCATCAGCCTAGCTAAAGGTCTGCATGGCGTCAAAGTGGTAAGTACATTAGTCAAAAGGAACAGGTGAACTTTCTATCCTCATAGAAAAACAAGAAAAACGAGACAGAGAAATGGAAAGAAAAAACTGTGCATAAAATAGTGAAATAAAATAGAACACGGGACGGAGTATTTTGTGTATAAAAATGAGCGCGTGTAAGTTTAAATTCTGATAAGGAAATAATGGTAGAGAAAGAGCGATGTCTCCGTCCTAAAGATGCGTCGAGTAGCGATTAATCGTTCTCTCTTTATTTATTTTACATTTATATTTTATTTTTTATATTTTATCTTTATAAAAATATTTTGTTGTTTCTAATGGATCGTCATTAATCAGGTTACTGTTTAATATTAAATGCGATGAATGCGGAATTTGATTCTATCAAGTTTTTATTATAATTCTGATCGAGATAGCTCTTTTTTTTTAGAAACTATGATCATTATGCAGATAAAACAACAGTAATTTTAATGCAAGCGTGATATTACCGTTAATTACAGATTATATGTATGTAAAAGCAATGTAAAACATTTATAAAACTTGAGTAATTAAAAATTACTCAAGTAGTTAGAAAATTCGACCGATTAATCGCGCACTAATGCGAATAATAGGGAAAAGGAAAATTCGTTCGTTTTTCCAATTAGTCTAGTCATGCTGTGTAAAGCACTCTTTTACGTCGGCTAATAAATCGAAATTATACTCACTCTGTTGGATCCTTGGTGCTGGGATTCGGTGGGATTTGCTGGGCGAACCACTCGGTTGCCTTAGCATCGTATACCAGACTGAGCAGCAGATTCCTGTCGCAATAGTACGAGTTCCTGTCGGCCTTGTAGGAATTAGCTATTGAACACAAAAAAATGTCAATGCTATTAAAATTAATAGCGCTAAAAATATTTTTGTTAAATGTAATGCTAAACATAACAATAAACATATAACAAGAGGCCGCATAAGTAACTCAAGAGATCGTGGACTTACGAAGAGAGTTATGACTAGGACTCGCAGCGGTGTGTTCCGGCGGTGGGGATCGTTGCTTCAAGTCGATCCACTTCCAGCCTGGTAGGCGGGTACGCTCCAGAAAATGTAGGAGCTGCAACTCCGAGGAATTGAACCTGTGTTCACCCTCGTAGTGATACCTAACGTTTACAATACGTTTATATAAATAGATGCATAGAATTGTCGCATCCCATTAGCTTATAGGCCTATTTTTTCTTAGCTACATATCAATTTCATTTTAATGCAGTTAAAAGGAAGAAACTATTTGTGAACCAGAATTGTGAGAGCCATTCGGCACTTACTTGCAATACATCCAATCGGGGTGCACCCGCCAGTTACTACCCGCAAAGTAATCTGTCACGTTTTTCCCTACAATAGTTCAATTCGTTCAAATTTGACATAGGAGATCGAAGTCAGCGACGAAAGCCTCGATAATTAAGTTAGAAGGAAAAAGATATTAGTTTAGTTTAACGTCCGAAGCAGAAATTGAAATTGTTATCATTTCAATAAGTTAAAAATTTTAATGCGGTAGAAAAATAATTTTACACCAATTGTGCTTTTGTCATGAATAAAAGTATTAATCTGTAGTCGCAAAAACCGGATTAACAATTAAGGTAAATGTACCAATGCCGCGACCTATGTCTGGACATCTTTATCATTTTAGTTTTTAAATATGTATAATGCGAATTGAAATCAAAGATAAAAATATAATACAAGAAAAATATTTTTATCTTTGATTCTTTGAATTTAATTCGCGTTATAACTTATTTAAGGACTAAAATGATAAAAATGTCCAGACATACGTACGTGTCCAGGCATTGGTACAATTACCTTAGAAAAGTAATATCGACTACGATTCTCAATTGATGAAAGACCATTTTATGTTTATCATCCAGTATTACATCAATACATAAATAAAAAGTTGTTTATAATACTTTGTTTATATATACTTTATAGCAAGAAACTTAATATTAATTGAATTTTAGATGTGATCTTTCGTAGAAATTTACGTAGCGTTAACACAAAAATATTTATGAGATGTAACTTTGTTCAGCGGAAGTAAACTTTCCTATCAGGAACTTTAGGTCTATACGAAGCGTCTGGAGACATGAATTTCACAATCGATACAACACAAAACTCGTTCGCGAATATCTCCTCGACTCCAAACTGTGTACCGAGTGGCACTTAACAGCGAAACTTTGCGGCTTGCCAGACATATGCCGTCATATGCCTAACTTACATAAAAAGCCGGAATTATATTTGAACAGGCAACTTTAACAATTGCTTGTGCCGACTTTCGAGATTTCCATAGTCGCGTTATTGAATCGCCAAACTTCTTCACCATCTATTCGATTTGTTCTGACCACGTCATCTTCTAACTTGAGTCGCGTTCTTGGGAGTTTCGAGTTTTATTATCAATTCGTTTGCATTTTTGATAAATCGATTCATTTCTCAAAGTACTTTAAAATCGATAGTTTAGAATAATAAGTTTAAATAACAATCCTCAACATTCTGCGTGAAATAATTTCGGACAACTGCTGGCATTTTAAAAATGGAAAATATATGCCATTAAAAAGAATCCAAGTAATTGCACTAGTAATCCGATAATATTATATTATTGGAAGCTTTCGTCGCTGCGAGATAGTTTGCTAGAATTAAAATGCGTACCTTTAGCGTGAGATCGATGTATCTCCTCGATAGCGTGCACGCGGTAATTTTCAGAATCGTGCTCGGGCAAACTGACCACTACTGTGAATGGAGTGTCCGTTATTCCCATGTAATCGTATTTTCTCTTTACTCTGCCGACACGTTTCTAAAGCGATAAAAATACATCAATTAAAATAAATTAATAGACCAGTTTAGAAAAAATTTTATTAAAAAATTCTTATTTCTTTGGGAATGCAAAAGATCATACGTGTTTACGTAGAAACACGTGAATATGAACCCTATAAAGTGAATGATTCGAGTGATAAAATAATAAAAAAATATATAATATAATAAAAAAGCATAAAGCCTTAAAAATATCAAACTATCATTTATTATTTTCTTTTATATTGTTTCTCTCTGCAGATAACGAAAATATTAGGAAAGCTTTTTAATCGCAACTACAAAAATTATATTCTCATAAATTGCACATTTATGGATATTTGTCGTTAAATATTGTGACAATGTACTCACCATGTCATCGTAATGATACTTTGTGTAAAGGATCGAATTACCAGTTGTCTGATTCACCACTTTGTTACGCATCTGCAGAAAAATGCAACAGACTCTTATGTAATTATTTATTAAATGTACATATAAATTTTAACGACAGTAAAAGTTGCTCAAACTTCGACAGCGTGTCATTGACGTTCTACAACTTTCTATTACGTAAATAATTTTTTTATTCGCTAAAATCTGTCAGTTTAATCAAAAAAATTTTTTACTAGTCTTTTTATTTATTTACCACAATGAGTCCGTTGGCGAAATCTCTGGGGCCCTTATCGTTATCCACTAGCTCAACTTCTGCCATATCGACGCTATTGTATGCCGGCTTTAAAATACCCTGGAACTATTTTTATAACACATATATTTTTATTGCTTATTCATATATTTTTATCGCGTTACGTCGAAAATTCAATACCGATATTAAAATTTTCGCAATTTCACGTAACATAAACGTCAAATCGAGATACAATACAAGCATGCGCGCGCGAAAAGAGTTAAAATATGATAATATAATTTAAAGAGCGTTTTACCACTGGTCGAAGATCGGGATGAATCAGGATGAAACCATTGTTGGTCACGATAAAGGCATAACCGTTGACGCCGAGCTGCTCCCACGGAGAGAAAAAGAAAGAGAAGATCGTATATTATATCATGATTTGCATTTGCCATGCCGTCAATTGATGCACTGTCGGCATCATAAAAGCTATAATGAATATTAATAGCAGTTTCGTGTCACTCTTCTTAATAGAGTCGTCGTATACGATATCCAAAGAGGGATATTTACTATTTAATCCCTCATACAAATATCTCATCTATTATCTTATTGTTAGTATCGTATTGTATATCATCGTGTCATATAATATTCGTAATAGATCATATTTATGTAATTCCTCAACTTTCTAATCTATATCAATAAGAATCACCAATCAAGCGCTAAAAATTAAAGAGGAACAAATAAAAGTAAAAATAATTTCCAATTAATTTTAACGTTTGCATTAATAGTCTTGTATATTATAGTTTTAATTAATTTTAATTAATTCTTGTTTTAATTTTTAATTAATTAAACAAATTATAGATTTTAACTGTATGGATCATTATATTTTGCACGTTAAACATATTGATACTCATACAATTGTTTAATTATTGTTATTCATAGTTGCTGATGATGAAAAATTATTTGTCACTTTTTGCAAAATAAAACGTAAAAGATATATAAGTAACAATATTGCTCACCATGTGTGGAATCATCAATTTCTGGATTTCTTCGATCGATACGTCCGTGCCAGCGACACCAAGGAGATTGGCAATCATCGTCTGCGCAGACAATTACCGATACGTTAATTAGGGAACTTACATTATGTCGCATTGCGTGACGTCTCTATCATATCATGACAACGTTATTATGTCGAAATAAATTACGAATTATCATCATCTCAAGTCGCATAACCAGAAGCGCATCTACCTTCTCCAACAACGTTCTATCACAATGAGTTCGTCTACATAAACACGTTTTGGTATATCAAAAAACCATATGTGTGAGACATAATCACCTCTCGCGTGTATACAATGATGAGCATGATCCTGAGATAATTTTCAAAAAGTATGTCACGATATCCATATAATATTTTTGGGAAAAACAAAAATATTAAATAAGAACATTTGTCCGAGTTATTAGTGTGATAATTAAATGTTGCATATTCTATAGTGGAATAGTTACTGCAAAGTCTTGTTCAATAAAATGGATGTTTAGCGAAACAGAATAAATATCTGCTATGTTGCAGAGAATGAGAAATAGACTGGAAAATATATCCAAGTTACAAAAAGTCACGTCAATATTAAAATTGTATTTGCAAAATAATGTTTTTATTTTGGAAATGTGTAAAAGTGCGCGCGAGAGGGACGAGCAATAAGAGAGTGTAAATTTCTTGCGATTAGACTCAATAACTAGCTCAACTACTTTCAATGTGTGTAATAATAATAATAATAATAATAATAATAATAATAATAATAATAATAATAGCGATACACAATAAAAACTCTATAATAATTAAACAAAAAATTTTCTCTATAATTAATTAACAACATCGGACGCAGGCTACCCTAAGTGTTAGTTCAAGTAACAATTACCTCCGTTCTTTCGAAGTGACGACCTTTCTTTCTTTCTCTTCTCCATTTATAATAATAGAAAACAACCTAACAGGATATTTTATTTTTATGTATGTTATGCAATAATGTTATAGAAATAATACCGATCATAAGTGGCACATAATAGGCAAAATTTTTTTTTAGTTCAATTCGAATTCTACAGGAGTGTGATATGCTTGTATGCGAGACTAATTAAGATAATTTTGAGAGGTCGTCGCTTGAGTTAGATCTACTGTCTCTGACTAATGTAATGTTTCTGACTAATGAAATCTAGCACTCAATAAACTGCCAAAATTTATATTATTTGTGTACGTGCGTGCCTGCTGTTACTCGTAATAAAAGAAGCAAGTGCCTGGGAAAAGTAATTATTATTATCGTTATGTAAAGTAAATCATTATCCATGTAATATCTTTAAATTTGATTTTCTTCAAAATAAATTCAAATTTTATTAACGAGGTTTCTTTTCTTTGGATGAAGTCCATTCGCTTGCTCCTTCAGTTAATATTTTTCTCTTTCATCATATATATATATATATAGTAGTCACTGCAGAACGATCTCTACGAATCAATCTTTACGAGGATATTATTTTTCGTCGTACGCAATCCAACAGGCGGGCAGAACTTTGCCTTTTTTCTACTCGTCTTGACAGGACACAGGGTAGACTAACGTACCTAAACCTACCTAATGACTTGAAATAATTCCAGTAACTAACGTTACGAGATCAACATAAGATATCAGAGAGTCGAATGTGGACCTAAAAGAGATCTATGCGTGTGTCTACGACCTTGTTCCAGCATCATTTACATCGCGATTTTCATACACATATATTTTTCATACACTTAATAAATTGAAAGGTGCATGTAATAGATTAAGATGTTCCTTTCTTAATAGAGACAAGAAAATTTAGAATACGTGCAATGTTATTTAAATAGTATTTTTTCAAAGTAAATATTCTTCAAAGGTTCATGAGTCTAATGAGTAATAAATTAAGATCCGTTAAATGGCAATTAAGGCTGATAGCGAAGATGAGGTCGTAGGTCGTAGGTCGTAGATCGATCGCACGAAAACGAAAGATAAAGATACAGGATGTACTATATATATGCATCATAGAACAATGTTGCTTGAGTTTTTTTGTTTTAGCTGCCAACCTCTCTTGTTTCTGTCACCCAGTATTCGTTCACCAGCACCTGCCTTGTGATGTTCTGTGGACAAAGAGGAACTTAAAACCAAAGCAAGTGCAGCGTGAGTATATACCTCAAGGATTCGCGAATTTCGCGATTTTTATTTCGTTTATCATTTTTTTTTTTTTTTTAGTATCAACGAAGAAATCACATTTACGCATTCAAGATATTGTTGATTACGCATCAGAGGATTTGTAAAAATGTTGCGAAGAGAACGTGAAAGCGTGTGAAAGCGCCAGGGTTGGAAAGTAACGCGTTACTAATTGTAACGCCGCCGTTACCGTTATAGTTACTTTTTTTTGTAACGGTCTAGTAATGGCGTTACTTTTTTCTTTTTGTAACTATAACGGTAACGCGGTTACATTTTTTCAGTAACGGTAACAAATTTAACAGTTACTTTTATCGTTACTTCTTATATTTGAATCTATTTATGATATAATTTTCGTATATTCAATTTTCAGTCTTCGATCGATATTCATAGTTCGTAGTTATATTTAAGATCGTCTTTATAAGAATAGTTTTAAGGTATCATAAACCTGCAATCACAGAACCGTATTAGTAAGTATAATTAATATAAGAACAAACTTTATAAATACCGGCCAGCTTTGAAGCCACGCGCTTTTTCAATCGTGTTAAAATTTTTATAATTAAGGGTACAAAAAAAGTATAATTTGGCTGTATTTATAAATTTAATAAAAACTAAAATTTTTTTATTTTTATTTTGAACATATTATAAAACCTTTCTCTTTAAATTTTTTGTGATCTCGCAATTTAAAATATAGAATTTTATTGCTTTTATTAATATTTTAACAAAAACATTACAAAAGTAAACTTTTTAGTCTGTTATCGCGTTTTACCATTAATAAAGTAACGGAAAAAGTAACAAATCGTTTTACTTTTTAAGTAACGGTAACGGTAACGATAAATGAGTAACAGCTAGTAACTGTAGTTACTTTAAAAAAATAACTTTTCCATCCCTGGAAAGCGCACACAACAGAAAGAAAAAAGTGAATGATATTTGATAATGATTGCTGAAGAAAATTGTCATTTTATCTAAACGTAAGGGGATCTTAATTAAACCTTTAGACTGTCCTTTGTCTACCTTCTGTCAGCCGACTGGACATTATTCGCAAAATAACAGGCAAATAGAAATCTTACCGCGTTTTCACGTCGATCAAACACTGGCATGCTGACCGAGGTCATTAGTTTGTATTTTTGCAACCCGCTGGTCTGATCGTACCACCGCTTCTGCTTCTTCACGTATCGCCGATCCTGTTCCTCCATGTTGGGGTACTTCTTTCTCCTGTTAAACCAGAAGACAAGCTCCTTCTGCTCCTCACTTTCGTGCTGCTCCCACATCCAGTCGGTCATTTTCGGATCCGTCACGTCGGCGTAGACGGGTGTCCAGATGGTCGGATGATCTGTACGGCCCAATACCAAGGGCCTCGCCATCACCGGCACATATTTCAACACCTAGCAAATTCGAAAAGCTTAACGAATAATTTTATCCAAGTCGTTATAATCTGGACAGATATTCTATCCGTTCAAATACCTTGAAAAGATTTCTCGCTCATTATAATCTTCTATGCCCAAATTTTTATGATTTATAAATTTGGCATCACGACTTTCTATTAAAGCAATTAATAGCGCCTTTTGCCGATTGTTTTTATCAAATATGAGATTTTTAGAGATTAAGGTCTTTATATATTTATCGAATTTGAAAGCAATCTCGGTCTACTGACCTCTTCTCTGACTTCCGCCGGGGTGCATAAATGTACGTAGTATCCTCTATTGGCGCAAGCCATCCACTGCACCTCCCGGACATCCGCCACCTCCCGACCGATCAGATAGGTAAATACTCTGACAGGCATATCGGCCTTCGAAGGGTCGTCCAGACCCTTCCAGTTATACTCCTCAAAGATCTCCTTGTAGTTGTATGGTACGCCGTCGGTGATTAGCATGATTGCTTGATTGCATCTAGCACCCTTCAATTGCTCGTCGCGGAATGTTTCGAGCAATTGAAAAGCGGTCGTCAAAGCCAGAGAGAAGTTGGCAATCTGCTCCGTATTGAGATCCGAGATGGCTCGCTTCAACTCTCGTATATTCGCCAGATTAGCTTGGACCAAGGTATTACTGAAGCACGACACTACCTGTAAACGTGTCGTTATTAATTAATAATTTTACTAATATAATAATTAATTTTTTTTTGTCTCTTTCCGTTGATTCTTACCTCTTTAGTCTCGTTGGAGAATGTAATGATGTTGACGAAATCATTGTTACCGAGAGTGTCAAGAATGTTGTTTATCACATGCTTGGCGATCTCCCGCCGCATACCGGTCATACTACCGGACGTGTCCATCAGGATGAGAATATCTTTCGGACTAGTAGCCGCTTCGATGTACCAGCTCCTCGTTCTGCAGTCGAACAAATCCACCTGTTCCATGGGCCAACTTATGGCAGGATATTGACGCATGAAACCGGTCGCGCTGCCGAAGTATTGCCAGGACAATGACGGGTCCAGCTCGTAATTGCTTATGAAAGTGCGATCAAGCGTCTCGGACCACTTAATCGCCCGGATGACATTTGAAGCGCGTTCATACACGTTCGTGGGCACGTGCACCGCTGACATATCGAGATTCACGTCGCCACCAAAGTGAAGACTCTTCTCGAGGTCGATGGTGATGTTCTTCGTATTGATGAACTCGTAGGTTTCCGGCGGATCAACATCGGGGGATGATTGCGCCGACGTTTCAGCCACGTCCATTATCCTCTGAAAAGGAAAAGCAAAGTCACTTAAATAATTATATGCCTAAATAATTATAATTTGCAATTACAAAATTCAAATGAAACAATATGTTAAATAATGATAAAGAAGCGAGACTGTCTGTTGTTATTACTGCATGCGCAGCTTAAAAACTTGAGCATATATAAATGAGATGAAATAGAAGAATCGTACCTTGATAGCCGAGATCTTCAACTCCATCATAGCCTTGATGTCCTTAGCGATCTCGCGGACGAGAGCACTTCCGTCACGTGGCGTGATGTCCGCCGACTTATAGCTGTCCTCGAACTTGTCCACGTTCGTCACCAATTTTCCCAACTGAGAGAGCTCGAATCCTAGCTTGTCCGCCCATCCTTTCACTCTGCCAATTGAAATAGTAAAATAATCATAAAATAATGATAATGATTTCTATAAAGAAGTCTGGATAAAGACATTCGTTTTACTACTATTTTATTTGTATTGTCTTACTATTTTTTTTGTAGTTTCTTATCGCGAAGTCAGCATAATGATTTAACAATAATTATAATTAATTTATAATATCTACTTTAATAAATAGAATGCGCAAATAAAAATTGTTCGTTCACAAGGTAACAAAACATTGTGTAAGTATAAGCAATCTGACGAAACGATGGTAATCTGATTCATGAAAGAAATCCATTCTTCAAAGTGAAGTAACGAATCATAACTCTTGTCCACGAATAAACGAAAGAAGTTATTCTTTCTCTGAAAAAAGATACCGCGTGCATATAAATCTAAAAGTACATAATAATTCAGTTCTTGTTCAACCATCAACAATAACGTGTGGCTGTGATATTCTTGGCGAAACAAATATTAATGACAAATAATTTCTGCAAAATTTTCTTTTATTTCCGAAAGTCTTTTATAGGACATGCCGTCATCGCAACGATTCCATCAAGAAACACAGTCCTTCACGGTTGACCTAAATATCACTTTATCGCCTCATTACCGCCATGTGAACGTGAGGTGATCGAGCTCGTGTTATTGCCGCAGAATTCAAAAATAAAACAACATTGCAAGAGATCAGAAGAAACAAAAGGGCAGACAGATGATTTGCCAGACCACGAGGTGTCTGTACTTACATATTATGGGAGATGCTGTCGCTACGGTCGAGTGCCTCGATCAGGATCAGGACGACGACGACAGGTATGAAGCAGGGCCTCATAACTTTCCCTGACCCGCTGGCCACCTTGGTCCGCTCCTTAAGGGGTTGTTCGTGCGCGAGAACACGGTAAATAAAATTGAAGTTTGCGTTTCACATCAAGAATGCCCGCGGTCGTTCTATTCGACGTCGATCGTCGTCGATCGTCGTCGTCGTCGTCGTCGTATGAGCACTCACTCACGACACTAACTTTGTGGCGACTCACGCGGGGCCTACGGCAGCTCGCTCTCGGTGTCTATAAGCGCTTTCCAGGGTTATCGATTTTCCGGTCAGGCTTGCGCACGGAAACACGAGCAAACGACGCGTGAGCACGCCAACTGTCGACGTCGATGATAAGACGTGATAGGATTGTTCATCTTTCGATATACATTTGATTGTCGAGCAAGTGGAATACGTGTTAGGGTACTTATTAAAAAATAAAATTTACTACTCTTAAATTCCTCGTTGCCTCGAACGATACCTACGTTAGTTAATTAAAATTGTTCATCGAAGCTTGCTGCGTCTTCGATGTAAATACTACTTCGTATATATCGTATTTTTTATAAGTGTTATTGATGATGTCATAAATGATACGTCAAGAATTATACTTCATGGTTTCAACTTTGGATATAATACAAGTCACACGTGTTTCCTTGAATAAATGATCTGTGAAAAAAATAGGAGAAAATTCAAACTTTAAAACATTATTTATTTATTTCTTATTTAAATATTAAATGTTGTTAATTAAGACAGTACAATTACCACATGTATCAAGGACGACTAATTTGCCATCATACAAAGACATATAGAATCCTAGCAATAATGATATACAACAGCGAAAAGGACACCATCAATGCAGATGCTCCGCAGCCATAGGTCTCATAAGTCTCAAGTTCCAGAGGATGTTCCGTAAAGCAATTCTTCAACCTGCGTCTCTTCAGGGCGTTCAATGGGATCTTGTGACAGGGTTTGTCGCCTGTGCTATTTGTGTACTCAGAGGGTAAAATGTTGACGGGTGTTACTGCCAATCTTCTATAGCATGTCGGGTACATGCTGTTTACCACAACCAGCAATAGATTAGTGTGTGGCACCTATAAATTATTATAGATGATTATTTTTTCTGAAAACTATTGTGCAATATGATGTCTTTTCATAAAATTCTCATAAATTGATTCAACGGCATAAATACGTTAATAAATATCACATCACAAGTTGAAAAGTAAAAGACATAGAAAATAGAAAAGAGCATTAATATCATCGATAATTCAAGAAATCTCGCAGATCTGTTCTATAGTTTTATTTCTGACATAATTAAAATATTCGATGATGGCAAAACACGTAGCGTGCTGATCTATTAAACATCACTTTAAATGCATTATTCTAACGCATTGCAAAGTAAATAATTACCATCGTGACACAACAAAAGAGATTGAAGACACAACAATATTATAAATCATTGTTTTCGAGACTCTCGAGCAAAATAGAAAATATTTACTCTCTGAGCGTAGAAAGGTCGTGAGCAGTAGTCGGAGTGATTGGTGACGCCTTTAGCAGCGACGGTCTCGTTCAACATGTAGAGTGTTCGCTTTTGATCACAGGGATAGAGATAGAGATAGGGTTGCGGTGGTGGTTCTGGATCTGGTGCGTCCTCATCAAAATGGAATTTGCCGTGAATGCCGGGCAAGTTTACAAACTGGGTCGTGAACCACATCAACCGCAGCAGAAACCAGAGTAACAACTTTGCAACATGTTGCAGCGGCTCCATCAAGCTGTTGGCGGAGTTTCCGACTCGCTGGAACAATTCGCGCCGCGATAAAAAAGCATCCTTTTTCTTTTATAAAATAAAAAAGCATAATAGAGAAACTCTGGAAACAGCTTGTTCTTCGCGCCATTTCTGATTCTTCCTCTAAATACAAAATTCTCTTTTATAATTTCACTTTTATAATTTTTATAATTATTAAAAATTAAACTTTGAGATATATTTAAATGTGATCTTTTAATATAGTTAATATTCTTTGATTCTTATCAACCACCGAATTACTCTTTGGCATATATTACTTACGACCACTTGACACCATCCTTGATAATCATAGATCTCGACTGGATTGTAAACACCCTGGTTGACCATGGACACCATAACGGCGCCCTCCTGAGTGCCCAAAAATTGCCCAGTGTCGTTATGTGCGTCCGAGATCACCACGTAGCCGTTCTGGTCTAATAGGTAGCAGTCGATCCAAATGTTGGAACAATTCATCATCGAATTCGTTGTTACTGAAGTTACCGCGATGAATTGCTTGTACAGATCTCTCATCGGCATTTGAAAACCCACTACGGCCGCCGGCGCTTTCCTACCGCCGTCCTTGGGCGATAGGCTCATCGAAGCTGTCACTATCGCGTCGGCGCCTGCTTCCCATGGAACTATAATATGAGATATTGTGTGTTTTGTATAATACATTACACTACCCAGACCATCTCACAATTAGATATAATCATAAATCATGTATAATAAATAATAAATTATATAAATGTTCATTTTAAGTAAATCGGAGGATTTGTAATTAAGAGTAAGTGATTTAGGATATATTTATACAAAAAATTAATTAGAAAAAGTTCTGTGTCTTATCCACAATAAAAATAAAATTCTTACCAGATATAGAAATACTGTTGGAATCCAACTCATTCTGAAAAATCGCGCCTTTGTACCAGGGCTCATTCACTGCTCGTCTATGAAGATCGCCAAAAATAATGCCGTCATCTTCATTCGATAGTTTGCTGGCCTTTAAATAATGCCACCTGGTAAGGCCACTTTGCGTCGCGATAAACCTAACAAAGATACCGTAGCGGTGTGCCAGATTCCGAGCCCTTGGGGGCAAATCCTCCAAATAGTCACCGCGGAAACTGTCGTTCGTTGCCTTGGCATCGAACACGAGCAGCTGCATAAGCTCTTTGTTGCAATAATAATCGTCGTGCTTGAGTGTCTGCCTGCCACAGTTGGGTTCTTCGATGTCTTCGTCTATGGACGGATAAGCCTCATATTGTTCGGACCAGCGCCAACTAGGCCGGCTCATCAGCGCCAAGAAGTGGCGCAATTCGTCTTCCGGACTGTTAAATTCATGACCTTCCAGGTAATGGTAACGACAATACACCCAGCTCGGATGTATGCGCCAATGATCGCCCACAAAGTAATCCGACACGTTCACGTTCATGTTCTGGTTCCTGCGGATCTCGTCGCCAACCTTGAAGAATTTTGCATGCAATTATTTGAGTACATATTCAATACCAATCTGCACAATTATGTAAATAATTATTCACTTAATGCAATTCATTCTGTAATTACTTACCATAAAACTTATGGAATAATAATGAAATAAGATCATTTGAGAGATAATTTCAGTAAAATATTTCTATCAGGGAAATTGCGATTCTAATGCTACTTCTACCTTAATCCACGTAGTTCCATAGTTAGGTATAACAACTGCAAGGCTGAATGGTGTGCCAGGTAGAGGCGCATAGAAATAATCACGTTTTTCGAAGCGGACCCGACGATTGTCATCGTAATGTAATTTCACGGGAATCTCTGTCATGTTACCTCGCTTATGATCCACTAACGCTGATCTCAGCTCCAATATTTCAGGACCCGGGTCCCTGTGCATGTTTATAATTAGTAAACATTTCAAATAAAAGATAATAACAAAAAAAACGTAACAATTCAGCGAAAAATATAAGATTTATTTTTCGATGCCAATGTGTTCAGAATGTTCTAACAAAACGTCAAAAAAATGCATTTTTTTAATGTCCCGCGCGCGCGCAACACACACACACAAGTAAAGTTGTACAACATTTATTTATTGTCATTTTTATAAAAATTTATAGTATTTTAGATTTTAAGGAAATTTTAATTTTTTAAAAAATTGCCTGTGAATGTTCCAACTTCCGAATTTTGAAATATCGGGCTAAATTTTTTTAAATAAAGAGTATCATTGAAGAAAGGTTGGTTTTGATTTTGATGAGAACTGATGAAAGGAATTTTTAATGTTGAATTAAACAATTTTTTTTATGCTTGAATTATAAATATAAAGTTTTCTAATTTTTTATTATAAAAAAAGTTTGACATTTTCTCAATATATTATTATATTAAACAATAATGTATTGAAAAAATCCCAAACTGTTATTCAAATTAAGTTTCTTTATTTATTGTCTATTTTCTGTGAAGGTTATATAAAAATTTAAAAAATGTGCAAATTAGAAACTTGCACATTGCTTCTTTACCATTTTTTTTCGCTCATAAAGCTTTCTCTATGAGGAAGCCAATCTTTTATATGCTAATAATTTTGTTAATTCCTCATGTAGGAAGCTTTATGAGCGAAAATAAATGGTGAGGTAACAATGTGCAAGTTTCTAATTTGCACACTTCTTTTAGTAACTGATTCAATATTTTGTATTTGTATATGATCTTTGGAAGAAACCATAATAATGAATGATGAAAACATCATTACATTACCTTGGTCCGCGCCCATCATCGAGTATCTCCACCTCCGTAAGGTCAATGCTGTTATAGTTCATTTTAAGCCGACCGTTGTAGACCGGCCGGAGGTCTGGATGCAGTATCACAAAGCCGTTGTTAGACACAATGAAGGCGTAACCGTTCACGCCAAGTTTGTATGGCAACGTAAGTTTGCGGATATCGTCGATCGGCACGTCCGTGCCAGCCACGCCAAACAGTGTGTCATTCTTCGCATCTGTCATGTTTTCGCGGTTGCTTTTGCGGTCGAACACAGGTGTGCTCACAGAAGTCAACAGTTCATATTCTTCCCAGGCGGTGGTGTTCAGGATGGCCGGGTCCTCCTCAATGTTCTCGTCCTTCTGCATCTACGCAGAGCGATCGCAAGAATGAAGAACAGTTTCGACGACGATATATCGTCCTCTTACAATTTTCGTTAAGAGGAGTGAACACATCAGAGGTGGAATAAAAGTTCCAACAGGTTGGAATAAAAGCGAAGAGCCACGCTATCTAAATCCACTCTCGGTCACTCCAATGCCGAGGAATACAGAGCGCGTCTCGGAACCAAGGGTGCAACCGAAGTCTCGCAAAAATTGATTATACAAATACGCATTTTTCATCGCGTGTAATATTTTTAAATCAAAATCTGATTTAAGAAATCTCGTCGGGTGATATTTTATTATTTTTAAAGAGTCTTTGGTTGTCCGCTTAATCCCGAACGTCTTGTATAGCAGCTAACACTGATCTAATAATGGGAAATAAATAAAAAAAGTAATGAATAAAAGTAAACTTGATGAAAGCCCAGCCAATAGCTCAGGGTACTAAACCTAGCTCGAGGTACCAAGTTCTCAGCCTCCTAATAATAACCAATTTGGCCGGAGAACACTCGGTGCATCGATTAGCCATATTCCAATACCTAGCGATTAATTACTTGCGGGTGTGTTTGTCCAGCTTTCCAGGTTGACACTTCAACTAAGGCTAATTCCTCTAGATACCAAGCATTTGACTTTAAGCTCAAGCGAGGTATATTCAATTAAATCATAATCTAAACACATACAGCAATTCATATTTATTATAAAAACGAAAAGTATAATACCTAATATTTATTTGATAAAAAATCAAACGCCATTTTTTATTACCTCATTTGATCTTACACGAATTATCAAACAAAGTAAAATCAGAAATTATCCACTGATTTAAAACGAATTTTTTAATATCTAAAAAATTTCTAAAAGAAGAATTTTAGCGAAATCGCATCGCGTGATTCTTGTATACTCCGTTTGATATTCGAGATATTAAATACAGAAGCTTGTGCCAAGGGAGATATAGCGCGATACAGATCTACACGGAATGCTTGGAAAACCTAGGGACAGGCAACGAGGGTGTTTTCTTGATTGTATCTAAACCTGCAGTATGTAGATTGCGTCCCTGTTTGTTTGCACGCCCAGCTTTGTTCCTTTCTTATACTTTTGTAGTCGCGAGTTTTGTTCTCCATGCTTCATCACCAGCCACAGCCAAGCGGCAAGTGCCGGATTCTGATGGAATTTACGTATATTTGTTTTATTCTTTTTACGTATGGCTTCCACTTTTACAAAACATTTAAACATCGTAAAAAATATTGGGAGAAAAGCGAAATTACCCGTACCCTGGTGAAAAAATTTCTCATATTTTCTCAGAAATTTTGCAAAAATTGAGACTTATGAAAAATGCTGAAAAAATACATGCTCAGATACTTTCAGAAATAATTAGATAAAGATTTTCGGAATATTTTCAGTATCCGTATGTATGAAAATTTCTGATAAATTGCACAAATTTTCTCATATTTATTCAGATTTCTATATTAGCAAAAAATATTTTATTCTTATTTTGTCTGAGTTTTTCTGAAAAACGTTCCAATTCATATAAAAAAATCTGAAAAATTCTGAGTATTCTGAGAAAATCTGAAAATTTTTATAAAACTTCTGATTAATAATATGAAAAATTCTGAGATATTTTTCTACCAGGGTAATGACGAATAAACTGTAATTATACATTTTTTAAAACAAATAATATAAATATTATTAACGTTTGTAACAACATAAAAATGATTATTCTTCTATTTCTTATTATGAATCATAATAACATCTTCAATTTTCAGGCAAGTTTTCTTTAAACTCAATTAAAAAATACAATTACACAATTGAATATTCAATTTCAATTGTATAAGATCTACATATATTGCACTTAAAATGACGATTCCTACCGTGACATCGGCATAAACATGCGTCCACACGATAGGATGTACCGCACCCTGAAGCACCAAGGGACGCGCCATAACCGGGATGTACTTGAGCACCTGTTCGCGCACTTCCTCCTGTGTTTGCACATGCTTGTAGTCGCCGCGATTCAGACACGATCTCACCATCCACCGGACTTCGTCTATCTTCGTCGCTTCCTTGCCTATAAGATACGTAAACACCCGGACCGGTACATGAGTACTATTTTCTTTCCAGTTCCATTTTTTGAATACCTAAAATAGAAGAAATAGAACACACAATCAGTAATGTTCACTTAAAAAAATTTTTACGGTCATAACTGTTTTATCGTTATTTATTTTTGCGTTAGTCTCAGCCACGCGAAAGTTCGGTAAGTGAGACAACAACAAAAGTTTATTCGATCAAGTGACGACTATGTTACAACCTCTTTCAGTTCAATCCCCAGTTTTCCTCCGGGAACACCATCGGTAACGAGCATGATGAGCTGATTGCACGGTGAGTCGGCGTCGCAGCCACGTATTTCCCGGTAGGTTTTGAGTAGACTGAACGCCTTAGTGAAGGCCATCGAGAGATTGGCGACCTCCGTTGTACCGATTTTGTCCATAGATTTCTTAAACGTGTCGAGATTCTCCGGCGTGGCTTGAATCAGCATATCCTTGAAACATGGTACGAACTCGGTCGTCTCGTTGTTATATTTCAGCATCGTGACGAAGTCGTTGTTCGACAAGGTGTCCAGAATTGAGATCACCGTTGTCTTTGCTGCCATAATACCGTTTCATTAATTGTAAGATTATGCGATTGGTACACTCTTCAATAACGTTATATTGCAACTTTTTAATTATAAAATTAACAGTCGTGATAAGCCAATTAAAAAAATGACAAATATTAATTTATTAATTTTTCTCATTAATTTATTAAGCTAAAAATTATATTTTTTGTATTGTTATGTTTTTTGTGTTGTTTGTCTAAAAGTCTAAAATTTTTTATATCAATAAGATTTGATTGTAAGAATTTTAACTGTACACTTCGAATTCCATTTTCTTAATAAAACTGATTTTTTATACCGATAGTTTTTCCCATGCCGGTCATGCTGCCGCTGACGTCCATTAGGATCACCATGTCCTTGCTACATGTGGCCGCCTCGACAAACCAACTACGTACTCTGCAGTCGTACAAATCAGCAGGAGAACCATCATCATCATCATCATCATCATCGTCGTCATCATCATTTCCATCATCATGATCATCATCATTATCATCATCATCATTAACATAATTATCATCAACATCATCATTATTGTTGTCTTTCTTACTGTCATTTTTGCCATCACTGTCATCATCTTTATTACCGTCATCATCGTCATCGTCGGCGTTCTCGGCGTCCTCGGCGTCCTCGGCGTCCTCGGGGTCCTCGGGGTCTGTTTGCCATTTCATAGCAGGATATTGTCGGAGCATACCGGTAACTGAACCAAAGTATTGCCATGACAATGCCGGATCGGATTCGTAATTCTGACGAAACATATCGTCCAGCGGCTCAGTCCTCGCGATATCTCTAGCCACTTCTGGCGTGATATCGAACACGTTGGTCGGTATATGAACCGATGAGTAACTCGTATTCACCGGGATGTTGTAGAAATGCGAGTCCGAGATCAGTTCCATTTTTCTGGAATCATTTCGTAATATTTCTTAGATTTATTTCACTTAATAGTTTTCTGCTTTCAAGACGGTATATTATTGCTCGTATTTATTAAAAATAATTTCCATTAAATTGTTTTGCAAGTTTAAATTGATAAACATATAAAATTACACAAAAATATATAACTTTAAGAATCAACTTCAGATCCTTCCTAATTAGTCCTGTGCAAATTTAAAGGAGTTATTATTTGCATCATTCGTTCTTAATTCACCAAAATTTTTGCCATCTTAACTCAAATAATTCCGTGACTAATTTTCACGCGAAGCTATTTGAAGAGAAGAAACGTACAATGAGGCAGAGTAAGTTGCTCACCTGTACACGTCCCCGTAGTCTTTCACAACCTTCTTGCAATGTTTCTTCTCTTTTGCTGACTCATGTCCTATGACAGGACTGCATTTGCTGGAAATGTAGGAGAGGTTGCAGTTTACGCGAGATACGTTCAAGGAAGATGGGTCCCAGCTTTCTGCAGCGTCCTCGGCTGCTATTCGAATGCAGGTGACAGCGTCCATCTTCCGACGCAGCATCCTACCTACATTTTCGCTGATTATGTTGACCAATTCTTCTCCGGACTTATTTTCAACTCGCGCGTTCATGCTTTTGTATTTCTAAAAGAATTGTTAAATACCAATTGTGTTAATATTCCTGTTTAATATTCCTTTATCCGTGCAATATTAGAAATATATAAATTAGAGGCATTTAAAAATATATGTATACAAAATTTTATATTACAAAAATTATTGAAAAAATAGGATATTATTCTTTTCTATAATAAATTTTCTATGACAAGAGTTGCATTATCCAGGTAGCAGAGTGACACGTCAAATGACGTTTTAATAACGTCTTAATGACGTCTCTAACGTTATTTTGCTACTTGAGTATAAAGCACTAAAAACTAAAATTATAAATTAAAATCAGGCTCGTATCTGCAAAGCAAAGTGAAAAGGTCGTAGGAACAAGCAAAAAAAATATTACATATCACGTATAATTTGAATATAAAAAGAGATTAGATCATGAATGGTATAATAAATAATAATAACTAACGATGAAACGTAACTAGTATTAATCGGATAAAAAAAAATAAAAATATAAAATAATATTATGAAAAGCGAAGACTAAAATCGAGATGCAATAAGTCTAACAAGCGGCCACATGAAAGTTGAAAGCAAATAAAAAAATAAATAAGAAAATTAGAGTGTAAATAAAGATAGTCAATATACATCTATGTGAAGTTAAAAATTGTAAAAAAAATGAGAAGATAAAATAAATAATACAGTCAGCAGATGAAACGATGTAGGTACATGATCAATTCTTCACTTGGAAGCGAGAATCTATCGAGTCAAAATGGTAAAAATGGAAAGAGAGTTGCTGATGGAGCTGTGAATTATGTTTCAACTGTAGTTTTGCTCGTTCATTGTCTCATGACCTTTCTACTTTGCATAAAAGCAGGACAATGTATATAGATTTACCTTTTGCAAATAATCGTAAAACTTTAAAAAATAAAAGTATTGCAATGTAAATTTTTTCTTGCTTGGATAAAATCGAAGAATATGTTATCTTGCGCAAGAAATTGCGGGATTCCTCTGAATTTTCACTATTTGATGTTTATTATCTCAAGTAAACACGCGTACTCACTTCTAGCAATTCCTCGGGCCGGGCTATTTCGTTCGCGAGTTCCCATAACTCGGTGCCCAACTTGTCCGCCCATCTGGCCACTCTTGAGGGAAAAAATCGTGAATATTTAATTTAAATATCCGAGAAAGCACATTGATATAATTGCTATTGCATATCGAAAAATGTAGTGATACGATAAGCAATAAATTAAAATACATTATAAAGGCAAATATGGTAATTAATTAACAAATTAGTTAATCTTATCTTTAAATATTTTATATTTTATATGCAGACTTTTTAATGACAATCAAAAACAAATCTTGTAAATAATACATATATGCATATATTACTCAGTTTCTAGATATATATAATTTTTCGTATTCTCATTATTTATTTTTATTTTTCTCTTTAATTCGTTTATAATGCATTTATCCAAAGCACATTCATGACTTTCATATTCTATACTGCGCTACTATGCGGAACTTACATGTGCGCGTCTTTAGCCAGACACACGACGAACAGCAACACGAAATAAAAGACGAAACATCGACCTGCAGTCGTCGGCATGAACAAAAATCGCTGCGACCGTTTTCCTCTTCTTTTGCCTTGGAGACAGCTATTCGTTCCCAATGGAACGTTATATTTCTCAGCTCCGTTTCTATTCTAGAAAGAACACGGATCCGCGAAAGCTCACGATAACGGATTAAGCACTCGATTGGTAGTGTCTACTGCGGAGCAAACCGGCTGCGAAGTTCACCTCCGGTCCGATTATTTTTGGCATTCGAGCAGCGCCGTCTTGAAGCTCTAAAGGTTCCTTCTTGTTTTCTCGTGTGGATATTAATAAAATCATGCCGGCCGGTCAAAGCAGCATCAAAATGATTGAATTTTGATCGCGATTACAAATTTCTAATTTTCAAAACTGGACAAATCGGTTTTACGAGATATCAAATCTCTCCAACGCTTTGAACGCTTTGATATACTTTAAATCGTATATTGCGAGAGGCAATTAAATAATAAACTATTATCAATTAAAATATATTAAAGTAATATATTAAAGTAAACTTTTTATTACACTGTACTCGCACAAGATTTAGGAACATCTAAAGAAAAAATGTATATAAAAGTTGTAAATCTGTATATACATTCAAATTCTCATAGTATTCCTAATAAAATTTTACCGAAAAAAAAGGATTAGCTACTATAGCTTTAGTCGCAAAATAGGAATAGAGAAATTTCTTTTATTTTAATTATTATATGGAAAAAAATTATTAGCTACTGTAGCAAATTTAGGGACACCTAACATTTATTGCAGCGAGAGCAAAAGGTTTTGCTACTATTGCTAAATTATAGCTTTTGCTGCAAAAAAATGTTAGGTGTCCCTAAATTTGCTACAGTAGCAGTCATTTTTTTCCATATAATAATTAAAATAAAAGAAATTTCTTTATAGTTATTTAGATGCATATAGCATTAAAAATTAAATCAAATCGATTTAATTAGGTGTAGGAGGAAGATTTTACTACTCCAACCGGAGCTGTGTTTTAAGTCTGACAAATTTAGTCGGCGCGCAGTCAAGGTTGGAAAATATGTAAAATAGAAATAAAAATAAAACTTTCGCGCATCATTTACCGCGCTTGGTTTTTAGTTAGCCCATTTTCTATATTTGTAAAATAAAAGAACTTTAAATATCTATAATAAGATGCTTGTGGCAGCAATGATCCGTGCCTATAAACTAACTAAAAGTTTTATAAAATATCTTTAGGAAAATTTGAGATTCAAATTTTACATGATCAAAGAAATTATGAGTATTTATAGCATTACTCGTAGAAGTAGTATAGCATGCCTCGATGGAGAACTGTGCTATTGTTTTTATTTTTGCTTCTTTGCTTTATTTTGCTAAATAATAGGAATTTATACCTTCTATTCTTTACGTTTTGTCTTGTATTACATGCAAATTATAAAATACAAGAGAGTATCATTCATTTCAATAAAATACTAGAAAGACTATAAATAACAATATTAACAATAGAGCACTTTGCAAAATTATCGGCCGTGAGAACATTATAAAATCGAATTATGTAATTATCTGAGGTTCGTGTTAGATCTCATCGCATTATTGCGTGATGTAGTTTTTGCAGTTTTGCAATCATTACACACGTGTATAATTGTGGAGCTAAAAGACCCTCTCGCGACAACCGCAAAATTTGAAGACGATAATAATTAAAAGGTCTATATTTATATATCTGTATCTTTAGAGGTAAAAAGAATTGTCTCTCCAGTTTTTGTCAAAATGGAGTTAATACATTTTTCAGTATAATAAAAGCTTAAACTGTACCTATAATGGTAAAGCGTCTTATGTCTATTATTATACAAGTTCCTAAGATACAATGTTTAGAAAAAGTCGGATTAAAAATTTTTATAATGTCTAATTTTTAAATCCAGATACAGTGTATTATTGGCAGTTGCACTACTAAACATATCAGTTAAGATACTTTATTAAAAACTTAATAAATTAAATTGCTACTTTAATTTTATATCTAAAAAAAATATATCATTTCCTTATTTAAAACTTTAAACCTTGTTTTCTCGAAATGCTAAAAAAATGAACATACGATCCTTTACCTCTTAAGTACAGATACTACAGATATAAAGATTCGAACCAAAAAACCGATTATGATCATCATTTTCAATCAGAATGCAGACAAGCATATTCGTCGAAGTTAAAGGAAACAAATTTTCGCAAAAAACTTAGCAAATTGCGATGAATATGTTCTATGCATATTATGCGGTATTATAAAATTGTGTAGGTCTAAAAAAGCCACGATGCTATCACGAAAAAGAAGTTATCACATAATTAATGGCTTAACAACTGCAACGTCATACGCTCGAGCATTATAGGAGCGGCACGTGAATAACGTGGCGCAAAAATTACGAATAAATAACATTTCCGCATTATTATAACTTCCTAACTAGTTTATGCAAAATTCATAGAAAATATTTAGTCATAAAACATAAAATAAAAAATAAATAACGTGTAAATATGGTTTATATTAATTTTGCACTTTTCTGTTTCCGAGTCGTCGCTTTTGAGTTGACGAATATTTGGAAAATGCCGCGCTCCGGCATTGCATGGGGGATCGTGAAATATTGACGATTGTAGATCAAAGTGATCTTAACTCCGTTTTTCTTGAGTCTTATATAACAAATTGTTTAAAAAAACGCGCTTTTCAAACATTACAAGGTCAAGATGATAAATAATAATCACTAGCAATTAAATATTAAAAGTATTGAAAAAAAAACTTTAAGTTTATCTAAGGTGATTGCCTACATATGTACATACAATATCTACATAGCGCATGCGCATTGGTAAAAATTGGCGTGTTTCGCCGTCAGCAGTAATCGCATTCAGCTGTTAGTTTATATAATGTACAATTCACGCAGGTGAAACACAGTAACCGGGAAATCAACAAACGACCAACATGGATTCAAGTGACACTAGTAAACTGTGGCAAGCAAGGCGCAAAATGAGCTTTAGCCGGCAAAATCAAGACAAGACTGAATGGGAAATCCTGGAAAATCACGAGCTGCTGATGGCACGACTTCAGCCAAATGTTAAGGACTCGCTCGACATTGCGGACGTGGCTTCCTATTACGGTATCTGGAATGTAACACGATAATATTACGTACCACTGAGATACTTTTAAAACACTGTACAAATTTTTATTTTTACTAATTTTAGAAAAGTTTTAAACGAGGCATAAATAAATGTCACAATATAATTTACAATCAAGCATTTTCAGGTTACAATCAAAGATCTCGTTTCTAAATTCCATTCATGAAAAAGGCGATTGTCGAATCAATATTTACATTTTATTATTTTTTTACACAAGTATATTTTTCAAATATTTCAAAGTTTAATATTTTTTATAAACATTAAATTGTGTGTAAATAAAAAACTTTAATTTTATTTAAGACAATTGCCATTTACAATGCATTTTATAAAGTAAAAATTAATCAATATTAAAATAATTACTAGTGTGCATATTTGACAAATTATTTTCGTTTTATATTCGTTTACATATAATTACCTTCGACCGTGACTTTTATTCGATACAAATTTTTAAAATCGACCATGAAAATCATTTAATCGGTTACAATTTTAAAATTATTTCATTATTTAGGTAAGATGATAATTACTAGCGTGCACGCGCTCAAAGTTTCAAACTTTTTGTAATAAAATTCAGATAAGAACTATGATTGAAAATTTACATGTACAAATCACAAATTTACTTAAGTTTACGTAATATCTATGTAAAAACTGAAAAATAAAATTGCTTAAATTACAGAAGCATTTATATCTGAGCTCTGAGCTATAAAAATTATTATATAATAATGCGGTCAATGTGCACCCTAATGTTATTTATCAAATTATTTTTTTACTTTATATATATATTTGCGTATTTTATCATCTTTCGCGAACTTTATTTGATACAAATTAACAGTAAAAACTTTTATTCGACCTAACTGGCTATCATTATTATAATTGTCACGACAATACGACCACTGGTTTTGGTCAATTAATCGTCAAGACGTTTCGACTTTCGACCATGGGTTTTGATATCCATGACCATCTTTTTAAATTGATGTTATTTTGATGCTTATATATTGTTGTGACGATGGACGAATTTGTTTATAATCAATTGACGATAATTCTGCGCCGGGCCTTGGAGCCAGATAGACGTGTTCTCTGTATTGAGATCTTCTCATTAAACCATAAATAATAGAGAGTCTTTATTCCCGGAAACGGGAGTGCGCGGCGCGTTCGCGAGTGAGAGTGCGCGAGTGAGAGCGAGTGCGGCTAACGCCTCAGCGAAAAGCGCAACAATATGTATGTAAGCATTCTATTTAAAATTTCTGTAAAGAATATTGCGAAAAATATTATCTTATCCGACTAAGGTAATATTTTTCGCAATAAATTCTTTACAGAGATTTTAAATAGGATGCTTATATAAGATACCTGAGCCGAATATCTAATAAGGCCCACTTTTAAACCAGTTTTATTTACCAGTTAAAAAAACGCGCTTTAAGTGTATTGAGTATATGTTTAAGAGATCTGTCATGAGGACCAGTAAAAAGAGGCAAAAGAAATTAAAACCAGCAATAACGCGTCTGTTCAGTGCGACAAAAACTTTCTAGGTAAAAGATGTGGGTGTGCATAAAAATCCGCGTTTGCATAGATTGTAAGTATTTCAAATAGTTTGTTAAATATGCTTTATTTTATGGTTTATTATAACATATTATAATATTACTGAACCTCCGAGCTGTTGAAAATAACAAATTTATATATATCAATTTTTTAGAATATATATATATATATTTTTTTTTTTTAATTACGCATTTATTAAATAAGACCATTGGAATATGACCTTTAAATATGACCATTGGAAGTGTGTCACTTTATAATTTATCTTTTTTGTTTCAGGTGATATTTAAACTAAGAAAAAACTAGGCAAAGAAAAAAGAAGTAAAAAAACGCGCTAAAAACAATTGGGCCTAAATGGCAGATATTTCCAAAAATGATTATCAAATTTAAGATAATTGTGATATTTAAGAGTAGAGTAAACCTTAAGGAATTTTTTGTGATTAATAATCATTTTTAAACTGATAAAAGATAATGTTTAGGTTCTTGGTTATTTCCAATTTATTTTATATTCGGACCTTATTATTATACATATATTATCTATACTATTATATAAAGGGGAAAAGTTTGTTTGTTCCATTGTTCAAGATAGTCTCACAAACTATTAAATTCAAAAAACTATTGATTTCAAAAATTTTTACACTGGTGAATAGCTTATATCTTCCTGAGTAA